GAGAGGGAGCGGGGGGGAGGGAGAGGAGGAGGAGGGGGAGGCAGCACCACAGAGCCAGTGCTGGTGGAACCAGCTTTTAAGCCAGCTCCCACCAGCACCGGCTCCCGCCCCCCCCCCCCCCCCACTTACTGCCTCTCATACAGATGCAGTGGAGAGCGGGGGGGAAGCAAGTAGTAGAGCACTCCTCTCGTCTACCCAATAAGCTTATTATCCGATCGGCAATTAGTCAACTACTTGCTAACATCCCTCATTTCCACTAGGGCTGTGAAAATGTAATTGTGGACACAGTTAATCTTAACATTCATGGTTACACGCAGGCTCCTGGTATGCACAAGGAGCCGGCTTAAAAGCTGGCTCCCTGCGTGCACCAGCGCCTGGGGAGCTACCTCCTCCCACCCCTCTCGCTGCTGTCTTTGTATCAGAAGCAGCAGCACTGGGCGGGAGCAGGCAGGAGCCAGTACATGCGGGGAGTTGGCTTAAAAGCTGGCTCCCCGTGCACACCAGGGGAGCCGACTGCCGTCTTGCATGTAACCATGTAACCACTGAAATGGTTACTTAATTAAACACCTTTTAGCATCCCTGATTTCCATTAGCCCAAGCTTTTAGTAGTGTTTGTGTCAACTGGGGAACCAAAAGAGGGTTGCTTTGTAAGCACCAAATCTGGGAGAAAATTAAAACGATTATAGAGCTTAGTGAATGTATTCTGACATCATCACAGACTGGGTTAAAGTCGAGGGCATGCCAGATGGGTGGTAGGGTTGGGAGAGACTATCAGAAAAGTTAATGCAACCTTCCTCCTTTGTCAGGTCTCAGGTAGCTTTGGACTGGGTCCGTTAGAGTGGGAGACCATTTGTGGGGGTTCTCCATGGAACAGCGAAGTGCTGCAAGAACTGTTCTTGGGTGCTGTCCCCTTAGAGTTAGCCATGAACCCAATCCCCACCTTTACAAGGGCTGTTAGCATCTGGAGACCGTATGTCCCAGCCTTTATTCTGTTTCCTCAGTCTGAGTGGAAGGCTTCTATGCTGCAAGGTGTAGTCTCTACAGACCATGCTTTTGTAGTGATAGAGGTCTATAAAATCATGAGTGGTGTGGAGAGGGCGAATAAAGAAAATTATTTATTTGTTCCCATAATAGAAGAACTAGAGGATACCAAATGAAATTAATGGGTAGCCGGTTTAAAACTAATAAAAGAAAGTTCTTCTTCACACAGCGTGTAGTCAACCTGTGGAACTCCTTGCCAGAGGAGGCTGTGAAGGCTAGGACTATAACAGAGTTTAAAGAGAAGCTAGATAATTTCCTGGAGGTTAGGTCCATAAAAGGCTATTAGCCAGGGGACAGAAATGGTGTCCCTGGCCTCTGTTTGTCAGAGGCTGGAGAAGGATGGCAGGAGACAAATCGCTTGATCATTGTTTTCGGTCCACCCTCTCTGGGGCACCTGGTGCTGGCCACTGTCGGCAGACAGGCTACTGGGCTAGATGGACCTTTGGTCTGACCCAGTACGGCCGTTCTTATGTTTTTATGTTGACTGCTGTCTGTTCAGTATGATGTAGATTTAGGCCAGGTCTACACTGCATGGAAAAGGTTGTCTTAAGATATACAACTCCTGCTATGTAAATAACGTAAATAATGTAGCTGGAGTTGATGTACCTTAAGCCAAGCTTGGCGCAATCTCCACAGTGGGAGGTCCACAGGAGAAATGCTCCCATTGACTTCCCTTACTCCTTCTGATAGCAAGGAGTACCAGTGCTGACAGAGGCTCCCTTGGCATTTGATTTAGCGGGTCTTTACTAGACCCACTAAATCGAACCCTGGAAGATTGATCGCCAGAGCATCCATCCTCCAGTAAGTGGAGATGTGGCCTTACTGCATTCAAGTACATTGGCTCGGGGCTATTTGGACAGCACCAAGTACAGTGGAGCCCTTAGTTGGTTCTCTGACACTAGAGGGCCGAATCAAGGATCTGCTGGGTTAATGTCTGAATGTGCTGCAAATGTTCTCTATAGGTGAAATTAATCTCTGTGCGGAGAGCTGGCAGATCGTAAGTGAGCCTTCAGGGGTCCACAGGTCATGCTCAGGGTGAATGCCACTCTGTGTATTTGCATCAGATTTCCTACTCTACCGTCTGGGCTTGTCTCCTGGAGTGTTCTTTTGGCCCGTGTCTGCGAGCAGGGCATTGATGATTCTCCGCATTCACACCGTTGTTTCTCTCCAGCTCTTTCACACGGGGATTTTGTGACAGGGCTGACAGTGAAGTGAAAAGCCTCTCCAGAAGGCCTGGAAACTCCTGTGCCCTTGTGTCCCTCCATGGGAAGGAGGAGTGCTCTGTCTCAGCCTGGGAACAGCCCAGTGGGACCAGTTCTGCCAAGGAGAGGACAGATTCAATGTTTTATTAAAATATCCGCTTGCGTTTCTTTCCAAGCAGCAGTTCTTGCCAGGTGGGTGGTCTGTCCAGGAGGGCAGGTGGAGCCTTCATCCTCATCCATCACGGAGCAGAATGGGGATTGGAGACATGGCATTTGTTTTGTAATGAAAGATGAGTACCTGCTTTTAGAGCTGTGGAAAGGCAGGATTCAGCTATTTGCCTTGGCCCTGTCCCAACAGGAACACAGGAACCTCCCCTCCTTTTATTGGAGCATATTGCATTTTCTGGTACAGGAACCCTTGGACACTGTCAGTCATTCCAGCAGTTTCTCTGATTTATCTCCCCTCTGTAAAACCAAATCGTCCCTGCAGCTGGAGGAGGAAGGACAGAGGGTCCCTATGTGCAGGCTAAATATATTTCTGTTTCTGTTGCAGATGCAGCTTCTGGATAAATTCCCCATTGAAGGAGGCCAGAAAGACCCGAAGCAGAGGATCATTCCCTTTCTCCCAGGTAACCGCTTCATGAAGGACTTGAACAGGGCAACGTAAGGCGTCCACAATCCATTCCACGACCGCTGAGCCCAATGAGGACTTGGCACACAGCTTCTGGTGATTCTGAATCTCAGGCTTCGGTAGCCACAGGGTCTCTTTGTGTCTTGCAGCCTCAAGAAAGAAAGCGTTTTATGTTCATTACAGATGGCCTCTTTCCTGTCATAGGCTGCTACATGGCAGGGGATGTGTTGGCTATCTGTAAGTACTAGAGGAGGGAATATTTATGGAGGGACAAGGGAATGAACGCAGCAAGATTTTAATGATATGAAAAAGTTATGCTAAACGTTAGGACGCATTTTCTAATACACTTGAACCTCTTTAATCCAGCAACCCTGGGAAACAGTGTATGCCAGATTAAAGATTTTGCCACTCCAGGGAGGGTGCTGTAGGGTCTGGGCGTGAGGGGGTGGGGTGCTTACCTGTCTCCCAGGGGCTGAGGTCAACGTTAGCCCCCCGACTCCTGCTCCTCTTCTCCTTCTCTTGGGGTGTGTCTAGACTACATGCCTCCTTCGACGGAGGCATGTAGATTAGCCAGATCGGCAGAGGGAAATGAAGCCGCGATTAAAATAATCGCGGCTTCA